ATTCAGCTAATTTAAAAGTATAAAGCAAAATTCACTCCCAGATTATTCATTCTTGTTTTCATTCCACAGCGTGAACAGTCCTTTTAACAGTACAACCCACCCACAGACTTCTGGAAGTGAGGTTCCAGTCATCCCACTAAGTAATCAAGGCTGCATTTTTATGTGATTACCTGCGTGCATGTCTTTGTATTCTGCTCCAAAGTGCCTCCACTGGAAACCATAAACTGGTCCCAAGTCCCCCTCTTCTCTGGTGCAAAACCCCTGCTTATCCAGGAACTCACGTGATCCATTGGCATCCCAAATCTTCACACCTTTTGCAGAGAGCTCTTTGGCATTTGTAGAACCCTACAAAATACAGACAGTATGAAGTTACCTTCTAATCCCAGAACACGATTAGATGCAGAAGCATTAAGCTTTGCTACTCAGCAGTATTTCTGCTTTTTTAACATAAAGGATGGACAATCTGATTAATGTACTAGTTGCTGCCCTCGCACTTGGGCAGAACAAAACTTATAAATACCTTACCAGACTTCAGCCTGAGGTGCGAAGCTGTTGTTTAACTCACAAAAAGTACAGTCTCAAGGTCACCTGCTGTATACAATTTCACATACACATCTACAGAGAACAAGATTTTACTCTCGTAAAATCAAAGTATGGCCTAGACAGTGTCTTTCCCAAGCCACTTCTAATGAAGTTAAAGTCCCTTTTGTTAACATGACAAAAATGAAAAACATGGCAAAATGAACTAGAAAAGTTTCACTGAATTCTGTAGTGAGTGCCAAACAGCACACTCAAAAATCCAATATAACAACTGTTCTGTTTGGGGAGTGCGCAGTCTTTTATCTTTGAAAAAAAGATACTTTAAAAAATATCTGTGTATGTGAGTCCTGCTGTCTAGCAAGCCCTGGTCTAGGTTTTCCCACATCAGTACATCGCTACTATTTCAAGGAATCACTAACATTTCAAGGAACACTTGTACTGCAACATATTATCTACAGAATTTTAGTATTCTTAACTGCAGCAATTAGCCCTACTGGATGTCATTTTTTACTACTTAATAGACTAGTGTTTACTTCAGTCTTACTGCACCTGTGTTTCCTCACTGCTTGCTTCTGTTCAAATCAATACAAGCTACCTACCTACTGAAAAGCAAATTATTAGATTGTTTGCAAATTACAATATTATTTCTTATGTAAACACTAATAAAAGACTCCATCTGGCTTTTTAACTGCAGCAAAACTCTGTTTTTAACTGCAGCAAAAGCTCTCCCTGTACCAGACTGTTTCCCTTAAAAAGAAAGAGAAGTAAAAAATGTTCTGATTTGTAGCAATGCAATAGTATTCACTGAAATACATGGAATGTTTTGAAAACAACAATCTTGTACACATGGGCTGCTCTGCTGTACGATCAGAAGCACCTGCACTTACACCAAATTCCTTAACCCATCTCACACCAGTACATCAGATTGATGCCATTCTCAGGCCTACTACTGATAGAGCCATCCAGATACAGCACCTTGATAAACCACAGCAGCTCCTCCAGCACTCCTTTCCAGAACACTCTCTTTGTTGTCAGCAGTGGGAACTGATCTGAAAAAGTTACAAGGTGTCAGAGATGATCAGATTTGTTGGGATGAAAACAGATAATCCTAGGGGTTAGAAGGGACATCTGGAGATCACCTATTCCAACCCCCAGTTAACGGTTCCCTACGGTAGATTACACAGGAAAGCACCCAGGTCAGTTTGAAATCTCCAGAGAAGGAGACTCTGCAGCCCCTCTGGGCAGCCTGTTCCAGTGTTGTCAACCTCAGACTAATGCATGTTTTTCTCAGATGGAACTTCATGTGTTCCAGCTTGTGCCCACTGCCCCTTGTTTTGTCACCACGCACTGCTTATAAGAGCCTTATCCCATCTGCCCAAATAACTGACATTTTTCAGCACACGGAAGGCAATGCCCCTGTCTGACACAGAGGTTTGCTGTTGAGAAGGGACGTGCCATGCTCTTACTGGGACCAAGGTTGACAGGGGCACTGCAGTGATAGATGGAGATGAGGACCTACACGCGGGCAGCACACAAGGCTGCAGAGGTATTCGCAACGGGAAGCAGAGCCTTAAGGTAATATTATAAAGATCTATCGCACTGACGGCTCTTCCTGCACTGAGGTCCCCTGCTTACTTTATCAGTGATGAGAGCAGCGGGGCCGGGCTCCAGACCCACAACCACCGCCTGCTTCTTCCCGCAATGCAGAAAACATCGCGGGGGGCGCCGAGCCGGCCCCGCTCCGTGCAGCCCTGCAGCTGGGCGGCAGAAGATGGCGGCCGAGCCTCGGGGCGAGAAGTCGGCTCTCAGAGAGAACGGGGGCGAGCACGGGAGGGGCTGAGGGGGCTGCGGGCAGCTCCCGGGGCAGCCTGCAGCCGGAGGGACCGCGGGTCCCGGAGGTGCCGACCTCTCAGACTGTACCGCGCCTGCATGCCGAAGACGGAGATGGTGCCGGTGCCCGTGCGGTCCTCCTTTCGGTGGCCGTGCTGCAGGATGTGCCGGACCTGCTGCAGGTACTGCGGCTCGCCGCCCTCCAGGCCGCTCGACGGCTCCTCCGCGGCCGGCATGGCGGGTGGGAGGCGACCTAAGCGGTCCGCGCGGCCGGGCGCGCTCCTGCCGCCCGCCCGTCCCCGCCGAGCCCGCCAAAACCCTTCCTTCCCGCGCAGAGGCACACAGGGGCGGGCTGCCGCCTCCCACTCCTCTCCCCGCCCCATCCGGGAGGCGCCGTACGCGCCGCCTTCTGCTCAGGGCGGGACTGCGGCCGCCCGTTGCCTGCTCCTCATCGCGGTGGGCGAGGTGTGAGGGCTGCAAGGGCGGTGGGGCGGTATAGCAGCGGCAACTATTGTATTAACATTTATAAAGGCGCGTACTAACATCGTGCATCTCATACGTTTAGCTAAATACTTCCTTGGCACACAGAGGATTCTCAAAGCCTACACTCAGAGCAGCCTGTCTTCATAAAAATACATGCCTGAAGTGAACGTTAGTTGGGCTAAGGGCAGTGCAAGCAAAACTGGAAGAAAACACATCCGGTTCTCCTGTGAGGCTGACATTTTCAGACAGCAAATGCAGCTGTGGGGAGGGGGGTTCTGAGATAAGTACGGGAGAATCTAGTTTCCACTTGGCTGCCTGACCAGTCAAGAGATTCTGAATGTTGCTTCATCAGTCACAGAATCACAGGGGTTGGAAGGGATCATCCAGCCCAAGCCTCTGCTAAAGCAGGTTCCCCACAGTAGGTTGCACAGGAAAGCATCCAGGGGGGCCTTGAGTATCTCCAGAGAAGGAGACTCCACAGCCCCTCTGGGCAGCCTGTTCCAATGCATCACCCACAAAGTACAGAGGTTCTTCTTCATGTTTTTATGGAACTTCCTGTGTTCTAGTCTGTGCCCATTGCCCCTTGTCCCGTCACTGCACATCATGGACAAGATCCTGGCCCCATTCACTTGACTCCCCCCATTAGATATTTATAAACTGTGATGAAGTTCCTCTCTGTCTTCTCTTCTCCAGGTTAGGCATCCCTAGGTCTCTCAGCCTTTCCTCATAAGGCCCCTCATCATCTTTGTAGCCTTCCCCTGGGCCCTCTTTAGAAGCTTCCTGTCTTTCTTGAACTGAGGATCCCAGGCCCCCACTCAAGTTGGCCTCCAGTGTCACTCCTCTTGGGCTGCAGATCTTTTATGCTGTACCTTCTCTCTAAGGGCAACGCTCAGTGCTGGCTGTAGTTGAGTTTCACCTTGCCAGTATCCACTCATCTCGCCTGTTTTTCAGCGTAGTTTTGTGTTCTGAATTTTGCTTTCTGCACAGCTCCTGATACAGTGTCATCTGAAGATTTTCGAGGTTTATTCTCTCTGTTGGCCAAAACAGACCAGCTCTTCTCTGAATATTTCTTTGTAATAGGAGATCTTAGTAGTTAAGTGTTTGGTTGAGGTATGCACATCTCTCAGATAGAGCCCGACTTTCAAACAACAGGTGTGATTCCAGGAGTTACAGCTGCTTAATCTCTCAAGATTAGTGTTCCGTAATATAAAAGAAGTTGAAGGAACAGGAACTGTATGCTAGAAAATGTTATTTTTTCCATATATTTGTCCTGTAGACAGGAAAACGGATCATTTCCACTACTTAAAACAATTAAATTGCCATTTCCCTTTTGTCTCCTGTGTGGCTTTATACATTTTGAAATGCATATATTTTATTTTGCAAAGATACAGTTGGAAATGGTGAATGTAAATGTGTGCAAAAATGTTCAATCACAGCCAATAAAACCAAAACACCTAGAGCTTTGCTTCTGAGAGTTGTACCTGTTCTTAGTGAATATAATTTGCAAATACCATGCAAGCTAAAGACAACAATGCAGGAAAAGACAAACATCTTTTCTGATAAAGGGTTCCCTGTTAATTATGGCTCCAAAGGCAAACTGCAAGTAAAAAGTGCTAAAGGCAGAAGACTTATTCATTTATGCATATTCAGAAAAGTCATTTAATGTGTGTTACAAACATCAAAAGCAACTGGAAGAAGAAATGGGGCATTTTCATTGGAAAATAATATGCTATATGCATATGATAATCTGGTTGTTTCAGGCTTAGCTGAATACGCAGTATCTTTAGGGAACAATTTTGAAAAGGCTTAAAAATTTGCCTGAATTTAAGTATGCAAATAGGAGTTATTTGCATGTTTACAGCTAATTATTTCCTTAAATCTTTGCATAACCGGAGCCATACATGATTCCTCAAAGATCACCTAATACATAACATAAACAACATTTTATTTAAATAAATGTCTCTCAAAGTGGACTTGAATTTGTATTTCAATTAAAAGATTGCTACAGTCATCGGTTGCTAGCTCATATGTCACGGTATTTATTAAGCAAAGTTTTATTTATATGCAACTATTTTAACTGTAGTTATTTAACAAATAGCTGAACATTGAGTTTAGGAGTATTTCACCTAAGGAGAGTTCAGGGATTGAGATTTCCCACATCTTCGTTCCTAGGAGAAAAGAAAATAAATGATCATTTTTTTTTATTTTTTGATAGAAAGATTTGGAAAAATCTGTATATGGGGAATGTACAAATATCCTGCTGTGGAAACGTATATGACACATAAGAAAGACTGAAACGATTTTCTCTCTCTTTTTCCCTTCCTGTAGATCTTCCTCTTTTCTTGCAGAGTTCCTATTCTTTCCTTTTGTCATGCTTCCACATAGCCCAAATCTGTTGCACAAACAGAACAGAAAATGGTACTGCGATTTGGAGATAAGTGCTACCACACTTTCTCAGGCATGAGATGGCTACACAAGTTGTGTTGCACTAGAGACTGAGGCTCAAAATCATAATCACACTAAGGAAATTTATATTGTCATCATTAGACCACAAAGTTTAGCCTTACATTATCTGAAAGAGTATATGCTATCAATAACCAAGTATAAGTTAGAAAGAATTTTGAAGGAAAACAGTATATAAATGATGCTGAGCATTTCGCTTTATACGCTTCTAACTATTGGAAAATATACGTTTTGAGTATAATACTCATATAATTTCACCAGCATAAACCTAAATCAGAGTTCATGGTGAGGCTTATCATATTCTGTCTAAATTCTGTAGGCCACCTCAGCCTCTCTGATGGAAGAGATTTATCTCATCTGTTGAAAAATTGTGAATCTCTCATCAAAAGAATGACAAAAAATGACAAGAATGTCCTCTAGAAGATCTGTTTGTGAGCACTGGAGTCCACCAGAGCTGCACATCTTGGAGACTTCGCTGGGACTTTGTGGCTAGCCCCATGGCAGTGTGATGCCAGTAGCAACATGATGCCACTTAAGAACTCTGCTACCTTTCCTGGAGTTTCTCCATGAGATTAGAGAATACAAAGTTTGTTCATTCTTGCAGCCTGTTTCTTCCCTCCCCAATCTCTTAAGCATGGAGAAGGATCTCCATGAGCCCTTCCTACAAAAATATTTAGAAGGCCATGGGAAAGATCTTTCTGTGAACACTCCTGCAAGTCAAATTGCAGATTCTGTTAGCAGCGTTAACACTGTTACACTGAGTAGAGCACTGATAACGTGAAAATTTTGCGGCAAAACAGCTCTTTCAAATCATGATGTTGATTCAACACTGCAGCCCATTTTTTGTCAAAAATAATATGGAACATGCTATTAAACACAACCTAAAATTAAAGGAGAAAAAAAGATGAGCGGTGGTAATTCCATTTTATACTTGATTAATGAATGCAAAGACATGCTATCTGATGCCAAAGCTCCGGATTGTGGTTGTGAGGCAATTCTTTTCTGATGGAATATTTGTCATTAAATTACCTCATCCCAGATGTTACTTAAAGATTGAGGGTTTTCACAGTTAAATAAGTGAAGTCTTTTAATATCATAATGTCTGTGTTTTGCAGGCTAGAACACTGAGCATTTATTTTTGTTTTCTGTAACACTTGTGTTTGTCTTTCAATCAATGTGTTGTTTCCAAAGAGACAGTCTTGAATATAGCATGACAGAATCCTGTTCCAACTAATGTTTATTGCAATGTAAACATCTCTTATGAAGAGCTGCATTCTCTGCGAAGCAAGAGAGAAAATGAACTTACCACTTAAAAATTCTGCTTATATAGTTGCAGTGCTTTTCCAGCTATGTATTCAATGAATTCTGCACTCTTTGGGTCTAAGTGGGGAGGAACTTTAATGGTGAAAGTAGGTGAAGTCAAAATATTCACATCTACCACGGTTTCGTTTGTACCAGAAACATCTCCAGGTACCACCTTGAAGAGAGCAAATCAGTACATTAGCACTACAAATAGCTGTGTGCTTTCAGTTTTGTTTATGGTTACTTTCATATTTAGTAAGGGAAAATTAAATAGAAAAGTATTTTAATCTTGTCTACCTTCTTTAAATTACTTTCTTATGAAAAGACAGTGGGTGCCTCGAATTTATGCCAAAGACTATTGTAAGTGGTGGGAAGATGTGATATGGCACTGCAAGACCAGTTTAAGAACTGCAAGTTAATATTTAAACCATAAACTACATTTATAAAAAGCTTCTGATCATGTACTGAAAACCTGTGTGTGAGTTGTTCTCACTGATTTCAAGAGGTTTGCTTGACTGAAGTTATGCATTCCTATGTGTTTTTCTAAACCTGACTTAGTTCTGTAGCTTTATTTTCCTGAGCAGATAGCTTAGACTTGGTTGGGAAAGTATGCTTAAATATTGCCTATTCCCTTGTTCCTGATCTTGTGTTTTGTTTTGTTTTGTTTTGTGGATTTTCATAAAGGTCATGTAGTAATAGTAGTGCACTGGATTTCTGAGTTGAAAGGGAGAGCAGAATTTGTCCCCGGCCCAGTAAAATCAATTTAATTTACTTTGGATGTCTTCATGTGGGTGAGATGTAGATGATCATGATGTACTTCAAGTCATATTGACAGCTGCTGCTTATGATATGCAGCTTCCACTGCAATAACCTGCATAGCATTTGCTTTCTTTGAGCTTTGTGATATATAGGTACAGACACAGACACGTAGCTATATATTCAGCGATCCAGTAAGGATGCATTGCTGGCTAGTACAGTGACATTTATCCAGGAAGGTAATTGCAGGCCTGTCAAAGCTGCTAGTGTCAGTTTACTCTTCTCAGCAATTATTTAGGTTAGCCTGTCAGCCATCCACCTGACTAAAAGGATTTAGAGGAAAATAGTTTCTAATCTCTGGAGATTCAGCTTACTGAAGGATTATTAAGCTCATTGAGGGATTATTAATACATTATTAATGTATATTCAAGATGAGATGATTAGGGACTGTATCTTGTAAAACCAAAACTTACATGTATATGAACATCCATAGTCCTCAAGAATGCACCTATGAGCAAGGCTTAGATGGAAGACAGTACTGTGCAATAGGTCCCCTTAGTAGGTAACCCTTACCTTGACTATATTGAAAATATTTTCTGGTCCGATGGTCATATTGGATAACTCAGACACCCACCCAAATCTTTCTTTCATTTTGTTCAGCAAGTAGGAAGTGTCTTCTGTATGACGCTGAACCATCTGGAGAATCTGCTCGTACTGCTCACCAGAGAGATTAACCAGCTTAAAGGCTTCATCAAACTTCATGTGCAATTCAGGAACATTTGGGCAATCTGTTTAAAAACACCAGCCAATGTGAAGCTTATAAGAAAACAAGATGTCTTGTACTTGCTTTTCTCTATACGAAGTACAGAAATATAGGAAAACTACAAAAAAAAGTCTAGCAATGGAGCATATTTCTGAGTTCATGTTTAAACTATGCTAAACAAAACAAACAAATTCTTGCTGACCTATGTTGGTAGGTTTCGTTTAGGCTTACAATGACTGAATGGATTAATTATTCTATTTGCTGTATTACAACTTGCTAAGCTCTTTAAGGTTTGTACCATGCTGCTTGGCAATAGATCTTCAAGCATGCTAAAGAATCGTAGAAGAGCTTGGGTTGGAAGGGTTCCCAAAGTTCATCGGTTCCAACCCCCTGCCACAGGCAGGGATACCTCCCACTAAACGGGCACTAGATCGGGTTGCTCATGGCCCCACACAACCTGGCCTTAAACACCTCCAGGGATGGGATGCCCACAACCTCTCTGGGCAGTCCATTTCTGCATCTCACCACCCTCTCAGTGAAAATTTTCCTCCTGAAATCTGATGTCAATTTCCCCTCTTTTAGTTTAAAACCATTCCCCTTTGTCCTACACTGTTATGTGTAATACACAACTGTGGACAAAAGGATATTTTATTGAGTTGGAAATGGTCCAACACTCTTTTCAAAATGTCACTGGATGATTAACATCTGCCGCACTGGAGATATTCTGATATCTCAGTTTAAGCGTTTTCTGTGACTTTGAAGATATAAATAACTCTGGATAAGCCGTAATGTTATGCTACAGCAGGAGTCCTGAGAGTATTTCTAGGTATTGCAGTCTGAATTTTTTCCAGCTGCCCATGTTGTCTGCAGGAGAAACCAGCATCAGGAATGTTGACTTCTCCTCGCTTTCTGCTCGGCGCTTCTGCACCAGGCAGGATCAATTGCTGCCTCACCTCTTGCTCTGCTGGAGAATGGCAACTCTAGCGATGTCCATAGGTATTTTGTTATAGAGTATACAACTTTGGATCTCCATCAGTATGCTAACAACTGAGTTATACTGACACTGTGTGGAGACAGCAGGGAAAGTAATTGAAATCTTCTGGACGTTTTGAATTTATAATCACAGTCAAAAGTCTGTGACTGAATGTTAATTCCAAAAATACGGAAAGAGCACAGTAGAAGGTGACAGCCTGAAGGTGTACAAACCAATGGCCAACACGCTGCAGAAATACATCAAGAAATATCTATATACCATGCAAAAGATTGTCTTGACATTTCTGACATCTCTCATGAAACTGTGTGCATCCAGAGGAATTCTCTCGAAGCTCTTTGCACAGAGTCCTTTGGTGTCCTGACACAATTTTCGAGAACATGCCACCCCTGTCAGAACCTAGGATGAAATTACAGTATTTTTAGACTGTCATTAAGTTGAACATCCTGACAAATACATGTTTGTTACTTAATATGTGTGCCAAGCAAAATAGAGGAGTTAAACTTCCAAAAGCAGAGGTTGGGAGAAGATGCAAATCATGTTTTCTTCCAAAGAATTCATGTCACTGTATAATTCCCTTATAAATGGTAACGTATTCCCCACTGACAGCCAATTATTTTTTATTTCTATTTTTATTAATAAGATAGGAAAGATAAAGCTTATTTGCATTCTAGATGTTGACTGAGGGTTGTTTCCCCCATTGAGAATTATCACCTGATACTAAAGTTATGCCCAGAATTTTCCTGGTTACTGGAAAATCACTTGGCTGGTTTGTATGTGACTGGTACATGACATTGCTGCAGGAGCTTTAGGCAAGACTTGCGGCTGTCAGGCAAGGGCAGGGATACGCTGTGACATCTCACAGAATTTTTAGAGCTGGAGACATGTCAGTATGATATGATATACAAGTCTTCCTGACAAATGCTGATATCAGACCTATCAGTCAATCTTTTGAAAACGTGCATCTGCTATGAATTCAGGAACTCCTGAGAAACTCCTGCAGACACTTAGAGCAATGCCATGAAAATCAGACTGTGTAGGACACCCAAGTCACACTGCAGTATTTCTATGAGTTTTCCAGATGATTTTTACCTTTTAATTTAACCAATGAATTTATGCTTAACCCATGCCTATTTAACCAAGTAAGCCCCCGGAGCTCCCATACAGCATGTAAAATTAATGCACCACAGACTGATCCACTAGCCCTGAGTTAGCTGTCCTGAGAGGTTTGATGTCATTGACAGCGCAGCTGATTTTTATTTCCAACACTTGCCTTTGGCTTGTTCTGGCAAATCTCTTCTATTATCTCTGTATTCATCGAATACCTCAGTAATCACCTCACTGACACCTTCAAACACTGTCTTGCTGAAATCAAAGACTGTCTGCAGGAAGGCGGGTACACCCCAGTCTTTCTGTAAGCCGTCATTTCTGGTAGTGGCCTCGGGTAAAGCAGGCATGCTGGGGGATTCACTCAAATCCAGATCAGACATGAAATATGTTTGAAAGGATTGGTCAAATTCTTTTTGCATCTGCTTGAAAAACATGAAACTTCTGTCAAACACTGAGCCCATGTCTGATAACAGTTGGCTAAATAGATCTTCCATTTTTACTAGTTGAGTATCCTCTTTCTCAGGCTTTTCATTAATCTGGATGTCTTTTCCTTGATCTTCATGAAAAGGGAAAATAAGTGGAGGTATTTTCCTCAAAAAATCTTCAACCTGCATGCAAGAAAGAGATCAGCTGCTTGACAGTTTATAGAATCACAGAGTCATGGAATCACAGAATCAAAGAATCATAGAATCATAGCATCATAGAATGGCTTGGATTGGAAGGGACCTCAAGGATCATGAATCTCCAATCCCCCTACGGCAGGCAGGGCCTCCAACCTCCATATCTAATACTAGAGCAGGCTGCCCAGTGCCCCATCCAACCTGGCCTTGAACACCTCCAGGGACATGGCATCCACAGCCTCTGTGGGCTCTTCACCACTCTCTTGGTAAAGAACTTCCTCCTGACATCCGACCTATATTTTCCCTCCCTCAACTTAAAACCATTTCCCCTTATCCTGCTGTTATCTACCCTTGTAAAGAGTTGATTCCCCTCCTGTTTATAGGCTCCCTTTAGGTACTGAAATGCTGCAATGAGGTCACCCCTCAGCCTTCTCTTCTCCAGGCTGAACAAGCCTGGCTCCCTCAGCCTTATCAGTTTTTCTTCTCTCAGAGAAGTAGCTCTAAATTTTTTTTTCAAGTACCTCTAGAAACAAGGGACTCTTTCAATAACCAGAATCACAGCATATTCTCCAAAGAAATTTAAGATGCTAGTGAAAGTTCATTTAATCTAAATCATTAGATACAAATCTGATCTGGAGAAAAATTGGTTCAGTCTGTTGAGGCTCAAAGTTAGTACTGGCTTCTGGGTTTTATCCAACAAACAGTTTGGACTTTATCTTGGAAACTTTTCTGTGGTAGTTTCGTGTCATGTAGAGAACAGAGGGCAATTGTTCTCACCGTGACCTATAAATGCCCTTGTGTCTCACCAATGGCCAAGTGCTCAAATTCCTGTGCAAACCGAAACCTACTAAAAGCAATAAAACAGTGTCTCTGAGTCCATGATTTGATGATGGAAGAGACTGAACAACAGTTCAGCTCTGGGAAGTTCCTATTCCCTACACCTCAGCTGCTCATCCCTGCTTCATGCTGTGACACAGTGCCTTTGACTGAGCAGGTGCAGTGCTGCGTGGAGCCACGCTTTACGGCATTAGAAAGCTGGTAAGGGTTAAGAAACACCGTGCCAAATACATGTGTACATGTATACCTGTACACTGAGCTCACAGAGGAAGTTATCAATAGTGTCAAAGACAGTAACAGTTCATAACATAAATAGTCTATGCATTATTTTTTGCAAACAGCTATTGAGCATTGCAGTGCAACTCCTACTGTGAGATACATCACTGTATAGCTGGTGAGACTCCACAGGAGGGAATGATCAGTGACCGTGGTGTCACAACAGTGTGCCCCAGAACTTGTTTTAGCTCTGTGTTCAATGAATGTAATTTACTATAGGCTGTGCCTGGTTACTTCGCATTTCCAGACCTTCCAAATTCAATCAGTTTTAGTAAGTTGATGTCACTGACAGACTGGCCACTGCAAACACAAGCTGTGCTCTCTCTAAAACTGTTGGGTAAATTCGAGAACACTTGCCAGATACAAAATTTCTTCTTACCTTGCTTCTAAATGTTGATAAACCCCGTCTGCAAGTCGTATAGAATCGCATGCAGGTACTTTCTAAGCAAGATTCACATTCATCCCATAGATTTTTCAAAGATACTTGGCATTGTCTTTCTTCTTCTTCTAATCTTTCCTTTACTTCATCCATAAGTCGCAAGGCTTCCTGAATAAGAAAAAAGATTCTGCTGATTGCAGTTTTCAGGTTAATATTGTGAATGTTAATTCCAGAGCTGATTGCTCATTTTTGTTATTTAATCCTTCGCTACTGGGGTAGGATGTTTTCTCAGCTGCAATCACATATGGAGGAACTGAAAATTGAAAAGCTTTTCCTTACGGAGTCTTCCTGATGTTCTCTCAACAACATAGTGCAGCCTACATAACCAAACAGATCTCTGCGGCCTACCTGGATTGTTGAGGCTGTGAAAAAACCATGAGGCTTTCCGTGCAAAAAGCATTCAAGCTCTCACAAGGTCAGGAGTCAACGCAAGTCTTTTATCTCCACGCTGAGTATTCATCTGTTCCCCAAACAGTCTTTTTTGTTACTCTGCTCTGTGCTGCAAGGGCCTGTGATACTTCACAAAGCTAGGTCCTTGCCATACATAAATTCCTTCTCTAATGCAGAAGTATTCAAAAGTACATAACTCCATCTTTTGGGGATTATTCTAATGGAAAGGCTGTAGGGAAGGGATTTCTTGCCTCTGCTGCAGAAGCGTAAGTAACAATTGCAATAAGCATTTTAGAACAGATTGGGCAACGGAAAGACAGAAAACTTTTTAGTAAAAGTAGATTGCACATCATTAATTTCTTTCTCCCAGTGCAATATATTTTAACACTTTATGTTTCCAAACAATATTCCAAGTTGTTCCCAAGCATGGCAGAAACCTTTTAATTCATCAGTCGTATTCCTTTCTGGCAGTATTTCATGAACAGAAAAGTCTCACAGAAAAGAAAACTTCTGTCAGAATGCCCTTGGTAGAGCTGGCAATTGTGATATTCATGGTCTGTGTTTAATTATTTCTGATCTTTCTAAATATACTTATTCAGGGTTTCATAAACTCTTACTGTGGGGATAAGTTCTGGGTAAATGAACTCATGCAGCAAGAACCAACAACAGACTGGATAATGGGAGTGTACCAGTGTACCTAAAGTTAACAAGTTACCATGTGCTTTTAGATTTGATAATATGAACAGTTCAAACTAATCTCCAAGCTGGGCCAAGATGGAATTTTCCTCTAAGTTCACTGGAACTAATAGTCAGTGCAGACTGAAAGCTTCAGTGAGAACTGGAGCCTTAGAATGCCATGTTCCTGCAAACACTCAAACTCTTTCTTAAGAAACTGCAAAAAGTAAAACAATGTTCATTTTTTCAGAAATGTGAATCAAGGCTAGAAAATGGTGTCTGTTGGCCCAGCTCCTGCTTCAGGGACAAAGGCAGTGAGAACTTTTATAAAGCTGCTGTAAGATTTTTCTTCTGCTAGGGAGGGAAAGCAGAAGCTGGGATTTCCCATTACTCCTGGCTTTGCTATGTGATTGCTCCTCAGAGTGTACATACAGTGTGGTTTTCATTCTTCCCAGAAAAAGGGAGACTCCAAGGGAGTCTACCCATACTCTACCTCTTCAAGAAGGTGCACTAAAATCTATGTACAACCTGCTTCATCTTGGATTAAAAATAGGTGCAACTTTAAGAACAAGGAAGCAAACAACCAGACAAATGAAAACAGACGCACTTGTTACCTGTTTTTCTTCACTGCTCTTCTTCAAAGTTTTCATCAGATCTATGTGCTTATCTTCATTTCTTTCCATCATAATTTTCATGTGCTTAATACCAATCAAAGCTTTCTTTACCTCTTCATCTACATATTTCTCCCCAACTTCAGATAAAGCTAAAAAAACCCAAATTATATAGCGAGTTAATCCAATTTTAATACTAGCACAAATGACTATTCTCTAATGACACAGTGAAACAGCTTTATGTTTCCCTGCAACTCATGGGGAAGTGAATGCTGAATGCAGAGCCAACTCATGGGATAGTGAATGCTGAATAACAGAGCCAAGACAATTTCTATCAGATAAGAATCTGGCGCAGAGCCGTGTCCAGTGATTAGCTGTGTGCAGCTCAGTCTATGTATTTAGCTATCCCATTTCTGATCTCTGAACCCCAGAATAGTTGAGACTGGAAGGCAACCCTAGAGATCGCAAAGTTCAACTCCTTGCTGAGAGAAGAGTTGATGAGAGCAGGGTCAAGGAGCGCAGGATGCTCAAGGCCTCAGCCTGGGTTCTGGGAATCTCCTAGGATTGCTCATCAGTTTCTTGGTGACATAACCTACATAGTTATTCTTAATCTGAAATCAATCAGTGACAGTTTCACATAACAGCTTGAAAATGTGGATTACAGGAGTCTTCAACCTACTTTCCTAAAATATAATCTCTAGACTTCCTGTGAGATAATGGCCGTAGAGTTTTGGTGAAAGGCAGGTTGTTCTTTACATTGGACCTTGAGTCTCTGCCTGAGTGCAAATCCCTTGTTCTCTTTGCAAAAGTGCTATGAATTTAACTGAGGCTATAAAAACAACTAAAGTGCACATTACTTGCATGCACGTGTCATTCATGTCTTCTACTTTAGCCTTCTTCCTCTCTCCTAGCATTCTATTTGTCACAGAAATATTTTTAAAATACATTGAAGCTAAGGAATATTTCATGGCTGATCCTCCTGGGATTCTGACCTACACAATAAAGTCATGCTTCAAGGTGAGTATATGCATAACAGCTGGTTTTTTTCTTTATTAAGTCATTCTATTGCAATTATTTCTAATAACTACATTTTATAGCTTAGCATAATAAAATGTAAATCACGTGGTTTAATTGTTAGGTTTGATTTATACTCTAATGATCTATGATGGAGCAAATAACCTATTAAAACGCTGCAAACATTTTCTATAAGGGAGGCTCTGTTAATCCCTCTAGTTTCTCATTTCATGTTATCTCCCAGTCACACACGTGGACACTTTGCTTCCACAAAAGTCAGCCCACACTTAAAAACAGATCCTCTTGACTCCAGTGAGCGTGGAAGGCAAAGCAAACCAGAGCAAGCCTCAGTGGAGACCTGGGCCTGAATGCTTCCAGCACACCTCTGCATACTTACTCTTCAGGTTTTCCCGGAGATTCATTTCCTCCTGCCTGGTCGGTGCACACTGGTGACCATTCAGCCATAGCAAGTGTATTATAAATAACCAAGAGGACTTCATGTTCTTTCTGTTAAAGAAGCAAGTTGAAACAGTTAAATGTAAGCATCTTTGTGGTGCTCAAATGCCTAGGTGCAGTTTTTACTAAGTATAATACAATCCTGTTATTTTTTCTCTAACTGTAACTTCTCAGATCTATAACATGCTATTAAATGATACTCCTAGTGAAAACACATGAGTAAGAAGCTGACCTCATTCATTATGTTTCTATTAATAGATTAATTCTAAACAGGTCTAAATAGATTCATTCTACTGAGTTTACACAGCGGTGTAATAGAACCAGGACACAGATAAATAAAACTGCAGGCTTATAGAGCTCACTCTTTCTCTTTCCTACCTTTCAAAACATGCTCAGTACTATAATAAAATCCTTTTACTCTTTTTATCATTATTTCATGTTACAAGTGTTTCTACGCTAAACACTGCTGCCAGATTTAAATAGGGAAATTTCTAGAATGTTGTTCCTATCCGTATCTCCAAATATGCATTGTCCTTCAGGATAATACTTCACATAGCAAAGGCAGTAATAGGTGTGCTAAGAAACTGGCAATTAGATCAGTCTTAAAAATAAACACATCAGAAATTGAAAGAAACTCCTGCAAAATAAGGGGAAGAAATGCCATTTATTTTATTTCCCTCCCAGAAGCAGTTTAATGAGAAAGATTTGTTTTTTAGGAACCATTCAACTACACTTTATAGTTTTCATCTCATTGAGTGAATATAGTGTTTAAGTTCCTTTTTGCTAGCCAGTGCAGCTTTCTTGAAGATGCATATAGCAGCTGCAAATGCATATGTAAATTAAAAGCCTGCATTTATTTATAGCCTGGATTTACTTATTTAGTCACTTGCACATTGTAAACTTACATTTATAGTGAAAGATTGATCAACTTTGCAAAGGAACAAACCCCCTACAAAAGATAAGTAAAAAACCAACATATTTACCATTAATACTGAAACACCTCTTCTGCAAAATTGCTGCCCGCGTCGGGAAGGGCTGGGGCTGTGCTCTGATCTAATTGCTGGGAGTGACAGGGATTTTGCCATGTTCGACTTATCTGATGACAAGGTATTTAATCCTATTAGTGGTACATTCTGTCATTAGGCTGGGGCGTATTTGTGCGTAAGGGACTTCATGCTCAGATGTGTGAGTAAAGCCACTAGGGGGAGCGCTGGATAGAATTACGTAATGAAACGCTGTATCTTGGTAGTCTTTTCGTCTTTCCAGATCTTTCATCATCTTGCCTTTTACCTTAGGAGGCGTCTGCAGCTTATGTTCTTAGTGAAAATATTGCAATTAGTATGGCTAAAAGTAGCTTCCAACATTTAATCTTCAGTGTAGTTTATTTTACTATAAGAAACATTGGATTATGGAAAGGCCTTTTTCATGTAACTTCTGAGGGTCCTTTTCTGAAGGAAATCAAAAGAATTGGGAAACCTAGGTGCAGGCTGTCATGCAAGTAGACTCAGAAATAAGATAAGCAAATTTTGGCATTTTGTACATCATTAAACTTGCTCACGTTTCGGGGTTTTGCCCTTCAATGATTTTCTTCAGATAATCCATGTATGTGAAATATGTCTGGGACCTGACCTGCACAAAGTCTTAAGTGTTTTGAAATGAAATGCTTAAGTACTAGCAGATGCTTGATATAAAATATGTACAAGTATTGTTACCAGGTTATATCCCACCTATGATGTTCACCAATATTACCCCAGTAAAGCAGAAGAATAGACAGGGAATGTAGATGCCTACAGCTCATGCTCTGTAACATCAGTTTTAAAATAACCCCCTTTTTTTAAAATTTACCTCATAGTTCATAAGAGTCAGTTGATGACTGATGATCAAGATCCAACATGATTAGTTCTTCTTGGTCAGGAGGTGTATCAGGAGGAATTTATGACCAATTAGCACTTAATGGAAACTGGAAGTCCTCAGCTTGCATTACAAATTCCAATTGGAGCTATAGGAATTTGTCTCACTTTCTGAAAATGACGGGGAATATATATGAATTTATGGTTCACTGAAATGCTGCTGAATTCTTGAGCAAGATTCCTTAGTACACAAATTCTTTCAAGATCCCTTTTGTGACAATACACAAAGGAACTTAGGAAATTTCAACCTGAGGACAAAATTATCCATAGCTAGTATGCCTGATAAAGTTAATCTTGAACTTAAATTTAACCTTTGAAATGCACTTTGGAACTCAACACTGTTCTTTAAATGTAATTGCAAGTAGTGATCACTCTGGAAATCTTTTCCAATTCATTTCAATTTTGAACTTAATTAAGCAGAAGTCTAAAAAAAAAATAAATCAGGTTACATATCAAATATCCACTCTATTTTCTTTTAATGTTTTAAATCTGATTTGCAATGGCTCGTCACGAATATCTACAATTTTAATGTTAGCTGATGTGTTCAGCTGTTTCCTCTTAACATTTTATTTTCCTCTAAATTTTAATGGATCAGTCACCCATAGTGTGCCATTTCACCACAGTATGGTACTGACATGTTTGTTTTTTCACAATCAGATGATTTTCACAAGCAGTGCTCACTGCTGTGGTTGCAGATTATGAGGCAGCCTTGTAACAGCTCTCATACAGGAGGAAATCTGAAGGAGCAAATGTTAGAAAGAGTGTTTCTCTCCTGCCCAACTATTATTCCAGTACGCTTGTATTCTTACTGAAATTAATATGTATACATTGGAAAAAATAAGAAAATAACTTGAGAATGGATTTCAGGAAAAAAATGGCTTTTTGCAAGACACTAATAAATTCAAACTGAATAATTGCAGTGATTCACATAGACACTAAACTTGAACCTAATTGAACTCTAGCAATGGAAATTGTAGCTGATTTCTGGAGTTTCCTTCTGTCCTACTGGATGACCTCCAAAAATGTATAACATTTTTTACAATGTACAGTGACTTCTCCCTTTTTTGTTGATCCATTCCACCTGGCAGGATTAAGAATCAAGAAATATGTTGAAATGGAATTTCCTGTGTTGTACTTCAGCTGTAGGGTTTTGTTCCAGTTATATATTTATACAATTATTTGCTGTTTGGAAGAGTTGTTTTCTACTATGTCTGAGACAGGCCAGTCATATAACGATCAGACTGAGAATATGTGGATGCACTTACAGGCTCTATGAGTCATGCAGTGCTAAATCTCTTGGTACTTTTATGAAATAGTCTCCAGTTGTACAAAATCTTAGCTAGTTTTTTTTTGTAAGCACACCACTAGGTCCACTGCTTTCCATTGAAATTAAATCTTAATGGAGGCCTATTGTCTAATTACGTGGCTAATCTAAAGCAGGCTCAAAACTTTGTTAAAAGTTGGTATGGTTTTTGAGGCTATAGAAATTCAAATTTTTCTCTTGTTTTGTTTTTAATCCTTTCCAGTACTTCAGCAGCTCTTAAGTGCCTTCTATTTCCCTGTGTATTTCAGAGGTGATTGGAGTCCTTCTTCAGTTTGTACTCAGTCTGCCTTTGATCTTTACCTGAGTAGCCAAAGTTAGCATAAAAGGCCTTTGGAGAGAGGCAGCACCTGAGATGCCATCAGTCATGCTCGAGCTCTGCACTGCACTCAAAACAAATGTGAAACCAGCTGAAGGCATGAAATCAGCGTGCATAGCTTGTTGCATCATGTTAAGCCATGGGTATCCAAACTGTTGGCTTGCCTGGGCCGTACTGAGTGAAGAAGGTTTGTCTTGGGCACATGTATGTAAGCCACTTCAAAAGAAATGCCTCCCATTTATTTCCATGGAAACAACAAAAGATACAAAGAGCACAATGACACCGATTGAACAGGATTCTCAGCTATCAAACATTATTTTCTAACATAGTCAACACCATTAGCTATGCATTTTTGCCAGCAATGAACAAGAGACTGCGTGGTGCACTTGTAAAAATCTGTACCAGCGGAGGTGATCCACTGTTGCTGTTGTCACTGCTGAAATGCACTGTCCATACCTCACCATGCTCACATCCACTCGTTGGACTCCATGAACGTTCAGTAGGTGCTGACGAATGTCAGTAAGTGCCACTTTTTCAGCATGGAGGAATTCAATGACATGCCTTTGCTTCATACACACTTCCATGTCAGACCCCATTCTGTCAGACTGCCCCTCTGCTACCATCTGTCACACAGCAACATCTAATGGAAGGCTGGCAGGAAGATTCAACCTCAACTGCCGTAACACCAACATCTGCCTCTAACACTGTGGGCAAACATCATAAAATGGGAGGCATTACTTTCCGATGAACTCTCATTAAACATACAATAAGGTTAATGTATAGAAGGTAACAAAACTTACTTTAGTTTTAGTGCTTTTTACTAAAACATATAAAAAAGAGAGAAACAAAACCATAGAACTTATGAGATACGTAACCTTGTTTTTGTGAAACTAACACATCAGTCCAGTTCAATGGCAGTGATTGCAAGCCGCAGTGAGATCTCAAGGTGTTCATCAGAGATTTCTGATGTTTTTAAATTTTACTCTTTCTGTACTTCATCGTTGATTCGCAAATGTGCGTACTGCCAAAAAGTGGTTACATGAACGAGGTCTGGCTGTGAAGTGAGGAGTATTTCTTTCTAGTAAGAAGGGGCTCATAGAAGTCTTTTAGAGAGACACGGTCACATTTTCTTTTAAATTGTATCTGATTGCAACTCTGTACATTCGATGTGAAAATTAGCAGGTAATGTATTTATGTCAACTGAAAATGGAGTCACAAATAAACCAAAGACCTTACTTTTTTTTTTTTTTTTTTTTTTGCAATCTTAAAACGTATTCTCAAATTTCTTTACGAAAATGTAAAGCGTGCTGCATCTTTTTTGCTGTTCACAGGGCTGTGTTTAGCCAATGTATCAAAGCTCATAACCTTACTGGCTATGACTTGGGCTGGCACTGCACAACGCCCCGTGCCCTGGTTTCAACACAGAAGGGGCTCACAGCGCACCAAGGTTGGTGTTGAGGGCTGGGCTGCACGGCGGGAAGAGCTGCCGCCATG